ATAGATTAAACAATTTTATATAATCAAAAGCATGTAAATTTTACTTGCTTTAGGAAGTATGTTGCATCAGAAAAAGAAAGTATGGAAGGCACTCCAAGTACGATGATAACAGTAGGGAGAAACAGACTACTTGATGACGGTTATCGTCAGTTATCATTGTTGTCACCTACTGCTCTAAAAGCAACCATTCGTGTAAAGTTCATCAATCAGCAGGTTTGTTATAGACTTTATCATTGTAACATACTTTTCAGTTCTTTATTTTTTCAAAATCTTTGGTTATTTTATTTTTTCAGGGATTAGATGAAGCGGGCATTGATCAGGATGGAGTATTTAAAGAATTTCTGGAACTAACACTGAAACATGTTTTCAATCCTGATCTCAATCTTTTCAAGGTTACATTTATCCATACTTCTTTCGTATTTATCGATATTGTTAGAGGTTTTATCTCCAAATTGAAATTCTTGACTTTTTCAGTGTTCACAAAATGGGCAACTTTTTCCCTCACCAACATCAGATTTGCATGAGAACCATCTGGCCCTTTTCCAGTTTGTTGGTCGTATGTTAGCCAAAGCTGTCTATGAGGTCTGCTTTTACGCATAGCAAACAATAATAAAATAGTTTATATTTTAGATAGTCATATGCTCAGTATACTTTAATTTTACAGTGTAAATCTTGTAAAAATGTTGTATTTGAGGGTATCGTTACTGAAGTGCATTTTGCACCCGTATTGTTAGCAACTGTACTGGGTCGTAAATTGTGTGCATTTGATGAGTTGTCACAGCTGGATCCGGATCTTTACAAAAGTCTTACTTATGTGAAACATTTTTCGGATTCGGATGTTGCTGATTTGTCACTAACTTTCTCAATTGATGAAGATATACTGGGACATGTACGGACCATTGATTTGGTTCCAGGAGGTCACGCAATGCATGTTACGGATGAAAACAAGTAAGTTACACTTAAATTTTTAAATTTGTTAGTTTTTTAAGTTTTCAACTTGTAATTCTTTAATGTATGGTTTCAAATTATAAAATATTTGCATTCGTTTTTGCACGTTTATACGGTCTGTTTAACCTTTTTTTATTATCTAGGATAGCTTATGTGCACAAAATGGCACAATATCGCGTTTTCAATCAAACAAAAGAGCAATGTCATGCTTTTGTATCAGGATTTCTCTCAGTGTTGAATGGCAGTTGGCTTTCATTGTTTGCTCCTCACGAACTTCAGTATCTGATTTCAGGACAGTCGACGTAAGTAGTAATTATTAAACAAAAAAATAATTTTAGTAGTATGAAATTATTAAAAATGATTTTACTGTCATCAATAACGTCTAATAGATGTTTTTCTTAATGTAAATCGTTGTCAGGGCGATTCGTGACGTCTACAAAAATTTCTGATAGCTTTTGCAACTATAAAGTTATTTCAAATGATAAGTCTTCCTTTTTTTACTTAGTGATATTGACTTACACGATCTTCGCAAGCACGTGCAATATTACGGAGGTTTTCACAATAATCATCGAGTTATTAAATGGCTTTGGCAAGTATTGGAAAATGATTTTACTGCTGAAGAGCGTCGTCTGTTTTTGAAAGTTTGTTTATATTAAATTTCTGTTAAAAATTTTATTATACAGATTTTGACAGAGTTCTGAAACTCGAACAGACATGCATCATGTAAAGTTTACTGCTTCTGCTAAAGTATTTTCCCTTGTAGAATTTTTATATCTTACAAATTAAGCTGTACCAGTATGATTTGCGAAACGAGAAGAAAAATATCAACTTGTAGTACTTCAGTAAATATTTCATCATGTATGATTTCTAATTCAATTATTAAAGTTCGTGACAAGCTGTTCTCGAGCACCGCTTCTGGGTTTTGCGTATCTCGAGCCTCCTTTTTCCATTCGTTGTGTTGAAGTATCTGATGACCAGGTAAATACTTTGCTCTTTATCAATAAATTAACTGCGATTTAACAGAAATATTTACCTTTTGAATTGAAGGTTCATTTGAACTTTAGTTCAGAGGCTAAATATTTCTATTGAATGACATTTTTAAGCTTTTTATCAGTTTTTAGGATCAAGGAGACACTTTAGCAAGTGTTGTACGCGGCTTTTTGGCTATTAAGCGACGTCAGTCACCTTCACGACTACCCACAGCCTCTACCTGTTTTAACCTCCTGAAATTGCCAAATTATGGCAAAAAGTCAGTTCTGTTGCAGAAATTGAGATATGCTGTGCATTCGGAAACTGGCTTTGAACTTAGTTAAATTTGGATAATTGTTTTGAATTTTTTGGGTTTTCTTGTTGTTTTTGATAACTGTCTTAGGCTTCATTAGTTCTTTCTTCCTGTATGATATTTTGTTTCATGGTCATTAATAATTTGGATCAATAATACGTCATCGCAATATCTCTTATTTTCTGCTGAGATGTGAAATGATTTAAAATAATGATCATTTTTCATTGCCTTGCTAATTTGCAAAATTAATTTCCTTTGTAATTTATGTTTAAACAGTTGGAATTTAATAGAATATTTTTGCTTTGGTGCATGATTTTTACACTTCCAAAGTCGAAATGTTGGCTAGAAGTTATAAATTTCCTTGTTATCATTGTATTAATATGAAAATATAAATAACTTAGCAGATTTTTTTTTTTGAATACGTCGGATTAATTCCATATTTTGCTATTACATTCCAGTTTACTTTTCCCTTTAAAACTTAAATACCTTTTACATTTTAAGCAATTTATGATTACTTTTCTATCTTGTCGTAGTAAATATGCTACTGTAGATATTGCATTTTTATATATGATAAATCAAGTACAATTAAAAAAGAGGAGCTTATGTATGTGATGATTCAGTCACTTTGCGTTTGATACACTGTCTGTATATATCTACTTAATTTTTGTTTTATGGATCGTACCATATGATACATTCTATGTTTATGGATCGCACTGATATTGCATTATTTTTTTTTCTGAAATCGAATGTGATAATCACTATGTAAAAACATAAGTAGATCTTCAGTGAAGACTTCATTGTTCATCGGATGTTTTTATTTTATACAAACACAATAAATACTATATACCGATTATTTTCTTATATATTATATATATGAATTGTTGCTACTGTCAAACTTTATATATGCCTTAGTTTGTCACCTCACTGAAATTCCGAGTGTTCTGTTAGTGGTTTTGATAAAATCATTTGCTCTTTCCCTTCCTGTTTTTTAATTATGATCTTGGGAGAGACAAGTCTTTGAAAATGTACGAATAAAGTTCGAGTAAAAAAATGCTGTTGAAGTGCCGTCAATGATAGAATTGGAAGAAATGATCAATGCGAATAATGAAAAAGATGTTCTAAATGATAATAATGTGGAAGTAATTCGACGTATTTTGGATGAGATGATTGAAAGGTACTTTTTGTACTCGTCTTCATTCGAAATGTTTGGAAATAATTTTAAAATTATTCATCCAATTTCATAGCATATTTTAACATTTTTCTGCATTTTTTTTATTAAAATACTCTCAGTTTCTTTGTTTCTCTCGTATAAATTGGAGTTTTTCAAAGTTTTCTAGATTTTTAAATTTTTTGCTTTTTTATTGTTTACAAAATTTCTTTCAGCCGTCTAAAAGTAGTCAGTCAACAGGAGAGTGTTTGCATTTCTAATTCCGAATGCTGGAAGGAAACGGGGATAAGATTACTAAACAACAGCACATCCCGTATTTTTGATAGCGGAATCAATGAATTGAAAGAAGGTCCACCAAAAAAGCGAAGGAAAGGTTCATCTGATATAAAGTTAGTGATCATTTTATGTTCTATATTTTTATGACTTGAATTCTCTTGCTAATTAAAATTTTCATTGAATGTGATTTGTACGCAATTATTTAGCTAAAAGATTGTCCGGTAAAATGCTAAAGATTGGTTTGTGCGTAATCAATACTATGCATCTTTAAGAATTTTTTAAATCCTTTGATTCTCTTCATTATTTAGCTGTGACTGGAATGATGAACGTGCAAAAATACGGACCGTTGCTGTTGATGCTGATTTTATTCAAAAATTCAGTTAACTTCCTCAGGTTGCTGTATAATCCTTTTAGATATTTAATTTTTTATAAACTTCCATTCTTATCGCTCACCAGTCTGTGAAAAAAATTCAGCTCAGAGAGTTACGCATGTTTCCACAATGTTATGTAGCGAAATTCTCTGCCTGCAACAACGATGTGATGCATTTAATAAAATCATAAATAGGAAAAAATCAATAATCTGTTTTTGGAAAAAAATTGAATTTTTTTGGCAAGTTCATAACACTCCGTATGAACTGGGAATGATTTTTTATATATGAAGCTAGCCATTTTCAATTAACTTTTCGAATATTAACTCTGAACTTTTTGAAGCAGATGTGCAAATCCGATGTGCGTCAAATCGGATCCGATCAAATCCGATGCAAATCTGATATTTTGATTTTTTTTAGTTGGAAATTTGTATGTTTCCCGAATTTCTCTTCAGAAGAAATTTTGTTTCATAGTAAAAGTCTAAATTTCACATGAATATTACTGATATGCATCAGTTGACGAATATAGTGCCAAAATCGACATATTCAGAAATTTGTGGAATCACATCTAATACTTGATTTTGAATGTATAAATCATTTGCTTTATGTTGAAAGTCATAATGAACTGGAGACTGAACGAACGTTTACGATCGCTGAAGTCTCATCATATTCATCCTTCGAAATTGTTTCATTTCCAATTCTAATGGTCCTGTCATATTTCCAAAACAAGAAAAAAATAATACCGAAATTCTATTTAAAAGAACAAAATATTTACAGATACTCTAACGCAACGATAAAAAGTCAAATATCATGTCAAACTTTCACAACTCAATGAACAGCAAATGGATTTACAGAAGCTTTAACGCAACAATGAAAAGTCAAGTATCATGTCAAACTTTCACAAATTAAACCAAATTCAAACCTTACAAATCAATAGCGAACTGATACTGTCTTTCAACTAGAAATCGAACAAACGGTCGTTTTTGTCTATCTCATTCTTGTCTTTATTTTCATTACGCATATTATTGAAATTCAATTCGAAACCTGCATTAACATGAGACGATGCATTTGTATCAACACCATCGAAAAGTGTCATGTAGTCACTAGCACCAGCAACAGATCCAGACTGATCTTGAAAGAAAGTGGACATGTAATTGTGCTATTTTTTTATTTGCTAATTTGGAAACATAATCTTGTTAACTTTGGAAGGAGCTTACTACTTTCGTTCTGAGAACAAATAAGTAGATTTCATCATCCAGCACACCCTTAATTTAGTTAAGTGGTGAGCTGCAGAAAAAACATAAATAAAAGTGAAATTAGAATTAAAGTCAAGTCTGAACTCAGCGATAAACAGATCGATCCACATGGGTTTGAAAGATAAAGGAGTAAATATTTAAGCAGTCCCCCTAAGGTCAAATTTTAATTCAACATTCAACGATGACTAACTTTGTATCACAGCGGAAAGATTAAAAATTGCAGATGCATCAAATTCTGCATCCATGCCGAGATAAGTATTTGATAAATTCATTGCTGATACATTGGGAGCAAAATTTGTAAACTGCAAAACTTATATATAACAAGATTGTTTTTATTTTGCAATGAACTATTATACTCAACTATCGGCAAAGTTAGATGTCACGATTTAAAGAAATTTAAAATTACTAATTAACTCACGCCTTCAAAGAAATTGGTGGGATCTAGATCAGAAGCACTCTGCATAGGCTGTATAATAGCAACCGCTTCGCATTCGCCTGAAAGATAAAGAAGTAAAAGTTCAACAAGCATCCCTATGTTAAGAACTTCAATTATGCACGTAACAAGAATCTAAAAGTAACCACTTCGGTGATGCTGTGGAGCTAAAATGAATAAAACTATAAAAAAATAAACAAATAAAGTGCAACAAATATTATTTTCTGCGCAATAAGTCAGTTTAGCTAGTATTTTACAATACAGCTGACACAATGACGTCCTTTCGATAGATCGAAATGTGATGTCAACCGATGTACGATAATATCACTGTTGTATTACTCACGAGTTTTATAATACAATCTGTCCCACTAACCATCATTATAATCAGCAATGTTCTCTCCTTCACTTCCACCATATATTGCAGTTTCCACCTCTTCGGAACTATCAATAAAATTTGGAACGAAATTGTGGTCAATGTTATTGCCCTGCAAATTAATAGAGAAATCCATATGTAAAAAATTATCTTAAAAAAATTGTTTATGGAAGCTTCATTCTTATGGTTTATTTTATGACCTTTCTGCTGACTCATATTATCAACATTTTCTTCAGTCCAATGGTAAATGATATCTTGAGTGCCTATTTTAAAAATCGTACATAATGAATAACCTTATCAGAAGTTTGATTTGGTTCAATGTTCACATTAATCAAACCATGTTTTTCATTCATGTTAATTATTCCTTCCTCAAATCCTGTAGTATTCGTTTTCAGTTCATTGGAATTCTGGTTAACTTCGTGACTTTTATCTACTTCCATTTCTATATTTGATACAGTCTTTTCGACTTCCTTAAATCAAAAAAAAAGATCTATTATTAACCATCATAAGATTTTACAAGGATTATAATAGACAGAAAGTTGTTAAAGCCTTATACAGGCTAGAGCTGTGAAGGAATTCTTTGAAGGAAAAAAAGTTGCAATTTTTTATACAAGATTTTGGATTTGAGCCCAAAAATTTAATTTTATTTGCATTTAAAATTAGCAGACTAATTCTTGCGTAAGTGTTCCTTTGCAGAACAAACCTCGTCTATAATAATAAGCTTATTATCTTCCTTCAAATTGCCATCATCTAGAACTGGCATGGTCATAGCTGTGTCGGCTTCTTTTTGGAAGTTAGAATGAACTTCATTGTCGGTCTAAATTTAACCAATTAAGCAATCATTTTATTGCAACTTAATAAAGAGTTTCATATATGAGACGAAAGATTAAAAAAACACCTGAAAATTCGTTATAGTTCCTCCAGTTGTTTTTTCTTTCATGCAATCAAACAATTCCGTTTCCTCACTTGCATCAGCACCTCCAATATTATTCAAACATAGCGAAGATTCTTCTATTTTTTCCTAAAATTCATTAAAATTTATTTTGATGATAAACAACAAGATATGTCTGCCTTCTGATCTTTGACACAGTGTTCGTTTTAATAATACAAGGAAAAAATTCATTAACTATTTGGGTGATCTGGATGAATATTCGTTCCATGTTTTTCAATTCATTTTGAACTGCCTTTCTTCATGTTATTGTTAATATGTTTAGATAACGAAAAAACTAACTAGTAATAACTATTTAAAACAATATGGGACATCAAGAGTCATTTCAAAAAGCAACGATATTATGTTCCTTAAAATTTTAGTAAATTCAAAACAAATTCATGATTCTAAAAATTTGTTGAATTTCCGAACAGCTTTTTATGAAAAATTTTCAATCCACCTCAGGTTGGATCTGACTATTCTGTGACAGCATCGATGTATCCAAAATTCCCTGATTTGATAATTCTTGCGTGAGCTAAAAGATAATGAGATTTTTAGAGTAATGATAACGATAAAACACTGAATGCTCCTGTAAGTATTTAGCAACGATGTATAATACATCGAAAGTGCCCTCAAATTCATTCCACTTTGGTTGTATAAAAATGTCTGAGAAACTTTTTTCAAGTATACTTCTAAAAAAATGAATTCCACATAAACAGAAATTTTGCATTAATTAAAGAATGAAAGAATTCACATCTAAAACTTTATTAAGACTTTATACTTTGTAGTGTTAAAGAAAAAAAAAAGTCTTTTCCGGATTTTTGGGAGAACATTAAGAGCCTAATAAAAAGGGCTGTGGAAATCATCTCATTTGTTACGACACAGTAATGGTTTTTGTACGTTATTTCCATGACGACTACCAGACTCAACTGTTAATTTTCGGTAGTTCCTAAACTGAACACTCTAAAATAATCGCAATCTAATTACCTGCGCAATAGTGACATATTCTTGTGCCAACTTTTTCAAAAGAGCATGATTTTTCAGTGCCATAGCAGCGATTGTTATACAGAAATTTGTGAATGGTAGCTCATTGCTTCCCGCAACTAAACATCAAGATTTCAGGAGAAGTAATAAAATTCAAATAAGGATGAAGGAAATAGTATTTCTTAGTTTTAAAAAAAGACAAGTTAAAATAGCATCGAATGGTAGTAGTAGAAAAAAGCATAAGAAATAGACGGCAGATTATTCCAACAGAATTAATTCATTTTATTTTATTTATTTCACTGAAGGTTTTTATCAATATCAAATGGACTGTTTCTTTAAAATTTGAAAATATAAAGTATCCCAAATTATTTTGATTATAAGATATAAAATTAAACACAAACAAATAGCTTCTTTCTCCTGAATGGAGTGTAACAGTCGCTCTTTCTTTGCACGAGCCTCATCAATTTGTTTACAGAGAGCAGCCAATTTCTCCTTCTCCTACAACAAATTGATTCTTGATTCTAGTTGATTCTAGTTCGCATAATTTTACTAGCAAAAAAATGAAAACTATCTCATCAATGAAAATAATGCAACCTTACGACGAGCAATTACCCAAGAAGCACTCAGCAATTTGTTTTGGACAGCTTTTAAACGATCTGTGAGAAGTTGCTGGTCGGCCTTTTTTTTCTCTTTTACTTCTTCCAACTAAAAATATACATTAATTTATCAGTAAATAAAAACGAACAAACTTTAAAAAAAATAAAGATTAAAATTATACAGTTTTTTTCAATTCCTTAATTTGTTCGTCAGCCTCTGCTTTTCGCATCTGATTTATAAAGATCTGCTGGCGCATGCTGTAAAGTAGCATAGTCACACATAGATTAGTCATAATAAAAAAACTCTCTACAATTTTATTGACATAGATGATTACCCTAATAATACTCAATAATTAGTGATCACCGCATATAAAAAAGTCTTTACATGCAATTCTATAAAATAAGAATATGTCAGACAAATCTCGAATCTCAGGTACCAAGCCGTCAGACAATATCTTAGCAATGATATACTTGTTTATCCCTCTTATTCATTTTAACAGGAACCAAGAATTATAAATGTTGTGCAGCAATGAATCTTATGATAAGCCACTATATTCAAAAAAAGATTGCTAAAAAGCCTTAAATGAGACTGCACCACTACATATCAACTACTACAGTCTATTATGAAATAATTAATATTATGAATGCAAAAATCATGGCAATGAATAAGTGAAAAATAACACACTTCTCAATCTTTTCGCGTCGTAACTGTACCCGAGCCCGAAAATGCTTTAATTCTTCCTCCTTCTTGGCAATTTCCATCTCCTGTTTTTCCATAATCAATTTGATTTCATCTCTTTCCTTCTCAGCTTCTAGAGAATTGCAAAATTAAACGAAACTCAATTATAAAAAAGTGTACTTTTACTATCAAAATATTAAATTCTCAGTGCAAACCTTCATTTTTGTATCGGTATTTTCCCAGCGCCTGCTTTACTTCTTCCTCATCCCATGCTAGAAATTGATGATAGGACAATTATCAGTGAAATTTGTTGATTACCTTAAAGCTTCATATGATATTTGATCAGAATATTCCAATCGTTATCAATTAATAAAAAAGTAGGGAAGTATGCAGTTCCTTACTCAAATCACGCAACTCTTTACGATGTTGTTCAACCAAACACACTTCATCGTTTCCATCAGAATGCATCGTTGAAAGATAAAAATTGATTGAAAAGAGCTTCGACGCGATGAACTGCTATCTGTGGAAAATTGCAAAATGTTTCAAAATTTCGCAGTTTAAAATAATCATAAAATATATTATTAAGCACCATTTGTTCTCAAAATGATTGTCACAATACCGTACAAATCCGCTTCTCTTTCCCAGAGCTTCCCAATAATATCATTTTAAACCTGATTTTACACCACGTAATACCTATCACAGCTATGACGACATCTCCTATACGATAAAGAAATCCTAAAATAGCGAACAACATGCACGTGACAATGCTGTTGCATGTAACTCGCTCGCAAATGCTCTGAATGGATTATCTTTCTTTCCAGTACCAGACCTACGTGAACTACAAGGAAAGCGTGTATACAGTCTAAAACACACGCATTACGTTGGAATGAATCCACGACGCACAATAAAACTATTCATCAATGGCTTATTCTTATAATGATAAGAATGATTACGTGCTCATTTTTTACACTCTCCATTCCTTTATTCATAGTAACGCCCGATAGTTAAGGATTTACTATCAGAATGATATTTTTTGTTTTTTATTGCTTTCAGTAACGTTACTTATACTAAAAAATTATGTGCCTAAAGCGTAAATTATTCAATGACTGCTTTGTGGAAGCATCCATTTTAGATTACAGTAATATGTCTCATGTAAATTTCGAGCAAAATTTGAATCTCACTTGTACCATCTCTACATGTTCACATGCAGAAATCTAAAAAACGTTTGTATCATTAAAATAATATATCTTGTATTATCTTTAGGTCTCTACCGGATTTCCATCTTTCTGGACGCCCTTTTACGGATGTGCACTCATATACAGATTCCGATCCTGATGCTTGCATCTTCCTGCACAGTATCGTTTAAGATGTGCAAACTGGAATGAATGAATGGATCTAACTTGTTCAATGGTTTATTTTCTCCCTCTCATGTTCACAAGTCCTTAAATCGTCACCTCTCGACAGATCACTGTTGCCGGAATCCATTCCCAAACCATTTTAGTTTATTCAAAACATTACGTGTTTTCATGTCGTCCCTCCAGCTGGTAACACAATATGTAACATTGTTGTGCAGCGTTCCTCCTGATTTTTGCAAGTCTTCCCTGAAATTACCTGTCGGTGGAGCCCGATAATTTTCGTTACGGGTAAGATGACGTGACACACTGCCGTTATTTAACGCGACTAATCAGTGTCGACGCAATCCTCCGTTCCTGTCCGGGTTTGTTGCTCTTTCGGGGATGGGTTTTAGATTGCAGGTTTGGGAGCATATTGGTGCGTATCAAAGTTCTTTTTCAGACAAGATTGTGTCTTTAGGAAAGGCATCCTTACACCTTCATAATTACTCGTTCAGTTATTGCGATCGGGGAATAAATGGCTTCAAATGATTTGTAACGAATTAAATTTTCTCACAAAATTTTTGTAAAAAGAAATATGGAAAATTTTTATCCTTGACAATAGTGATACAATAATATTAATCATAATATAATAGTAATTAATAAAATATAATGGTTAGTAATGGTAATAGGGAATAATAATAGTAATAATAATAATAATAATAGTAATGGGAAAAATGAAAAAAAAAACACTCACACATATACATGAAAACATATCGAAACATATATATTAATTATCATTATTAAATAAGAGCAGCATATAAGGAGGGAAATTGTATACATTCGACTGTGCATATATTTTTCATCCGTTTAAAACAAAGTAAATTAATCGAAATCTGAAGCCATTTCTGTTATATTTGCGAAAACAATTATTTGCAGTGGTAGAGCGGAAGGAAGTTGTGTGTTAGACACTTTTCTTTTAATTCAATTCTGAAGCAGAAAGAAACCGAAATTCTTGGCGAGCCCTAACAAATTTGGAAGAATAGAAGATTAACAGAAAGTGGGAACGGTTTATAAATCCAAATTATAAATACTACCGCGCTTAGCATTGGAAATAAGTGTAACGCAACATGCTGTATTTATTTAGAAAATCGGACATTTCAAAAGAGATTAGGTCAACTGTGAACTTTCTTGCCATCATCAAATATTGATAAATTTTCCTAGGAAATAATGTTAATGTACAAAAGAATAATGGAATAGCTGCCAATCAAATGAAAAACTTCTTCCTAAAAGAAATCTAATGGATCTATCAGGTTGGCTAGCAAGAAAATTTAAAACTAGACGTCATGCTTAACAATTCATATTAGATCATCGGTACGATGCAATAGCCGGATGTCTTATCATTGATAGAAGCTCTTCGAGCTTACAGTGTAGGACAGAGAGAATACAAGAATGAAATGTTATAAAATCAAATGATAGAGGAATAGAGGAATTATTAAAATTTACAAAAGATTAGTAGTAAATGTATTGACAAATGCATACCATAATTAAATATCTGAAAACTAACAGTTTTGTTTGTATGTCGCATTATTGGTTTATACATACCCGCTGTTACAAAAATACACGATTTCAAAAAAAAAAAATGAATGAATGCATGAAGATCCGAAAGAAAAAAAAAATAAAATGAAGCTTGAATTAGATTTGAAAATTTAAGAACTTTTGGTGAGCTTAAATGTTTTAGAATATTTTAAAAATTATATAAAACATTAAATGATTCAAATTTTTTTGAAAAGAAAAAGGTAGAAACAATATGTATAACTTCAAAAAAGTTTGCTATCATAAAGAGCGATTACATGCAGCTATTGCTGCCAAGTAAAATATAAACACTTAAATCCTAAGGAAAAAAAATATGTTATTAAGCTAATAATAATAATTATAGCAATGATGATAGTAATAGTGGCAATAATAATAATAATGGTAATTAATAATAATGATA